TGATCAAATAAATGCAGCCTTGATGAGCAGAAGACACTCCTGTAAAAACATTAAAAATCGTTCTGATCCCAAACTTTTGACCAGTAGTGTATATATATATTTTGTTTACACTGAACCATGAATCTTGTAACTGTTGTTCCTTTAATATTTGTGATGTTCAGACTCTTTGGGATCAGGCATGTTGTTTTGGAGCGCTGTGTGTTAGGGAACATAAGTTGATTTGTTTACCGTCTGATCTTGGCCCCTCATGTTTCTAATGTTGGGCGCTTTTGTCCCCGGTCATATTCTAAAAACAGCCTGTGGAGTTTCACAGCTCGCTGTAGAAACTAGTATTTCCCAAGACAAACCATTTGTCCTGCTGTGACTGTAAATGCTGTCCGCATGCTTTCTGTAGATACCTCCTATAGCTGAATGAATATGTGCTGTTTTACAGAGAATCGAACCATTATTGAGCTAAAACTGCGGAGAGAGCTAGTTTGGCTGTCAGTCATTAAACGCTCTGCCACAGACCTCAGAGAGAGAACTGCATTGCCTTTACAATCTGAAGGATGTTGGCTACAGAGGCTCTTTCTGCATCGAATATAATAGTCGAAAAATAGCCTTAAAAATGACTTAAAATACATATATAATAGCAATACGGCAATAATAATTAGTTCAAATGAAGTATCAAAAGCAAATAATCATATGGCTTTATTGAACAAAACTGTTACAATATATAATGTATGTTTTATAAACAATAGAGCTAATGTACATTACGCATTATAACCAGTGCTGGGGAAAGTTTTTTACTCTTGCGGGGTCTACTCCTTGTTTAATATTGACTAAACAACATTTAACTCAAGCGTCCACTTAATCTTTAATATTTGGCCATTTCTTTACAACAGAAATGCTGTAATTTCTTGACTATGTGGACATCAAAATGTGTGAACTCTAGGACAGAGGAGAAACTCAGCCTTCATGTATGTTTTCAGGTGGATAAGTACCTGTATCACATGCGTCTGTCCGACGAGAACCTGATGGATGTGTCCAAGCGCTTCAGGAGGGAGATGGATAAAGGACTGGGCCGAGACACTAACCCAACCGCAGCCGTCAAGATGCTCCCCAGCTTCGTCCGCTCCACACATAATGGCACAGGTGAGGAGAATGAGATCGAAATAGCCGAAGACATTCAAGCTTTGCCTTTCACAATCCCAAAACGTATCTGGACACTAAAACCGCACTTAGAAACGTAGGGTGATTTCAGGTAAAGTAGGCCACTTTTAGCTCAATTTTCAAAAAGGGCATTTGATATGAAAAGATTCTCAAGCGACACCTGCAAACAAATAATGCTAGAGCTTCACTGTTCTCAAGGTAGTTTGTGTTGTATACATGCAGTGAGTTCTCAAGTTCTCGCAGGTGTTGAATATTTTATTTATTTATTTTTTTAAATAAGTCTCTTATATTCACCATGGCTGTTTTAAAAATGCATTAAAAACAATAATATTGTGAAATAGTATTACAAATTCAAATAACCATTTCCTATGTGAATATATATTAAACTGTAATTTATTTCTGTGATGCGCAGCTGTATTTTCAGCATCATTACTCCAGTCTTCAGTGTCACATGATCTTCAGAAATCATTCTAATATGCTGATTTGCTGCTCAAGAAACATTTATTATTATTATCAATGTCGAAAACCGTTGTGCTGCTTAATATATTTTTGGAAATGGTAAAACTACTTTTTTCCAGGATTTTTTGATTAATAGAAAGTTCAAAAGTGCAGCATTTATTTGAAATTAGAAATATTTTTAAATGTTATAATACGATACGATACGATACAATACGATACACTTTACTGTAAGACTGAGTCTGAAATTTGTCAACAAATGTCTTTACTGTCGCTTTTAATCCATTTAATGTGTCCTTTTTGATGTAAAATATTAATTTCTTTTACTGACCTCAAACTTTTGAATATGTTGTGACCAAATACAGTGCTTTGAACACTTATACATTCAGACTGAGCAAACATTTTGACACAACACAAAAAACACAAAATACGCCTGATTTTGTGACAGCTAATGTAATGACATTTATGTTTTGTAAGAGTTGCTTAAATATCCTATTTCTTAAGGCCTTTGCATGTTGTGAACAACATTTATTTAAAATTAGTGCTGGGCAAAGATTAATCGCATCCAAAATAAAAGTTTATGAATGTCACGAAAATAAGCTATATGAAATAAATCCTAGTGTAAGAAAAATATTTTTTTTTACAAATTTTAAATCTAGGTATGACCACGTTTTTCTTACAAGGTGTATTTTAGGTCATACAAGACTTACACATGGATATTTATTAAAAGGTGAAGAACCACCATCATGCCTTATTTGCCAAACTAAAATGACTGTGAAGCATATTTTATTAGATTGTGCTGTTTTTAACGTAAATAGACAATGGTTTTATTGATTTAAAAGTGTGTTTAACTGATTTATTTAAAAATGTATCACCTGGATGTATTTTAGAATTTTTGTTCTGAAATGTCTATTAGAACTTTTTGTTAATTGTAAACCTTGTGTCATTTATTTTGAGATTGCCATGAAAATAGTACGGAAGAGGATTAGGGCCAAGCAATAATAAAAAAAAATAAAACCATCTCGAGATTAAAGTCGTTAAATTTAGAGAAAACCTAGTTAAATTTCGAGAATAAAGTCGTTATGTTTTGAGAAAAAAATCGTTAAATTTCGAGGAAAAAAAAGTTGAAATAAAATGTTGAGAATAAACTCATTAAATTACGAGAAAAAAGTAGTTAAATTGCGAGAAAAAAAGTTGAAATAAAATGTTGAGAATAAACTCATTAAATTACGAGAAAAAAGTGAAATTTACAAAATATCTTCATGGAACATGATCTTTAATTTTATTCTAATGATTTTTGGCATAAAAGAGAAATGTATAATTTTGACCCATACAATGTATTGTTGGCTATTGCTACAAATATACCTGTGCTACTCATGACTGCTTTTGTGCTCCAGGGTCACATATAATGTTTATCAATAATAACAGCAAATGCATCAATGCAATGATAATTCACCACATTCATTAATGTTAAATCAGTTATGCAACTGTGGAGACGGACTACAATAAATTTCATACATTGTGAGAGTGCTTTAGAGTTGTTACTTTCCTTACAGCTTCATAACATTACTACTTTGCTCTCATAACTTCAGCTTTCTCATAGTTTAGAATTTATGCCTTAAAATATGCAGTGATGTGACGTTATTCTCAAAACTTTGACCATTTGTTGTAAAATATTCATGTGGCAAAACTGAGATTACAACTACGTTCTTTTAATATTTTAAGATCTTCAGTTCTTTTAAGATAAGTTTGCATTGGTTTTGTTTGCAGAAACGGGAGACTTCCTCGCTCTGGACCTGGGAGGAACAAATTTCCGAGTTCTGCTCGTTAGGGTGTCCAGTAATGGGAAGCAAAAGGTGGAGATGGAGAACCAGATCTACGCTATTCCAGAGAACATCATGAGGGGCAGCGGGACAGAGGTGAGGAGCGTTTCTGTGTGTGCTTTTCTTTCTTCAGCATTCACTAAACATGTCATGCATGTATTCAAGTTTATAAACCTGCCTGCAAAACTTGATTCATTAATAGGTGCATCATATTTAAAGAGACAGTTCACCTAAAAATGAACATTCTGACATCATTTACTGACTCTGATGTTGTTCCAAACCCGTATGACTTACTTTCTATTCTAGATATTTTGAGAAGTGTCTATACAGCCAATGTTAATCAAACATAAAACCTTAGTCAGCAGCAAATAAGTACATGATGACAGGGTTTACATTTTTGGGTGAACTATGCCTTTAATTAAAGTCTGCCTTATTCCAAAGTAACAAAAGTTATATGTATCATATGCATGCTCTGCATAACAACCACAAACATGCATAAGTAATCTGGATTCATTAACACTAGCACAAAATAAGAGCGTTTTTTTCCTGAACTTTTTGCATGAACTTTTTTTCCCCCCACACATAATTATTGTTAAATGAGAGCCACTGTGTCTCTGAACATTTCATTAGCATTAATTAACAACAACACACAAGGCACACAATCTGTTTTTATCTATGGGTCTTTAAAAAAAAAAGTTTAATTATGCATTATAAATAACTTTGTCTTGTAGCCATGATTCATCACTGTCACGTTTAAACTGCAGTGTATTTAATAATAGAAACACTTCATTGCAAATTGCAAAGTTGACTGTATGAACTTTGTGCAGTTGTTTAATCTGAGAGTGAAGATGTAGAAATTTAATTCATTCAAGGGTTTAACGTTTCTCTCATAATTCGTTGTATTTACAGACTAAGGCCAAATAAATGAACACATTGTGCATCGTGTTTCCGTTTTAATGCACTTTTTTTTTTCGACGCTTGATCGCAGCTTGAACAATTTAGATCCTATAGAAGTATAAAACAGATGTGGTATTTGTTTCATATTCAAATCTGTTTCATTTCCATCACGAGACTAAAGCATATCCTGCTTCCCTGATACAGTGCAAACAATATTAACCAATTTGAGATGCTACAACAATCCTTCTGCATAATAATCATATCGATTGCCATGAAATTTAGAAATAATCAAACATTGCGCTGAATGAAAAGTGCATCTTAATAACCCCCGACGTCATCTGTGCTTATGAGTCTATAGCCTCTGAAAAATGTTATACTTGTGAGATGAACATAACAACTTTGGGCTAACTTCCCTTGTGAAAAATAAATATACTAAAATGTATTTGAAATAATGCATTTATTTCATGCAGAGTCCACTGCAAATACATTTGCATAATTATGCACTTAATAAAAACACCCTGCGATTGTACTTTTGTGTTTAATGTACTTTTAATTGTGCGGAAGTCTGACTAAAGATGTGCTGAAGTATAGTTGATTGTGCTAAAGTGGAACTGTACTTTAGGAAAACTTTAAAAATCTTGCATTTAAAGACTGATATTATTAAAAAATCATACAGTACAACCCTTATCAATAGTGATATTAAAACACATTTTAGGCGTAATATGAAAAAATGTGCATTGTGCACTAGAACACCAAATAAAGTTAAATTATAATTTTTATATCAGTAAGGCTCGAGCAAAATGTGAGAAAATATGTTAATAGATTTGAACTATACTTAGAATGAAATACATGTATTTTAAAAATATGACTTCTTTACTAGGGTTGCACTTGATCTCTTTGGTTCTTGTACCTAAACCTTTTATCCACCTTTTTTGGGCCATAATTGTATTTTTTGTCACGGGACTCTTTTAATTGTAATGAATCCTTCATCTAAGTTAAATCAGTCTTAAAATGAATTTCTCTTTATTTCCAGCTCTTCGATCACATAGCTGAATGCTTGGCTAATTTCCTTGAGAAACTGGGCATCAAAGTCAAGAAGCTGCCTCTTGGCTTTACCTTTTCGTTTCCTTGCCAGCAGATCAAGCTAGATGAGGTGAGATGGGAAGGGAAACTAAAATTAGCAGCTCTTCTGTGAGATTGCCATGTTTCCATGGTTGCCCTTATTTCTGTACAGAGTTTTGTGGTGTCCTGGACCAAAGGTTTTAAGGCGAGTGGAGTGGAGGGGAGAGATGTTGTGGGCCTGTTGAGAAAAGCCATCAAGAAGAGAGGGGTGAGTGTCATGCTTTTACATCCACAAGCTATTATTGCTTTAGTAGTGTTTCTAGTACAGTCCTAACAATGTGTGAAAGCTTCTGAGCTTTATATGTACTACCAGTCAAAAGTTTGGGATCAGAATTATTTTTAATGTGTTCTTCTGCTCATCAAGGCTGCATTTATTTGATCAAAAATACAGGAAAAAATATAATATTGTATGTGTGTGTATGTGTATATATATTTATATGTGTGTGTGTGTATGTATATACAGTATATATGTATGTGTGTGTATATGTATGTATATGTGTGTG